CCTGGCCAACATGGTGAAACCCCATCTCTACTAAAAATACGAAAATTAGCCGGGTATGGTGGTGGACACCTGTAATTCCAGCTACTCAGGAGGCTGAGGCAGAGAACTGCTTGAACGCAGGAGGCAGAGGTTGCAGTGAGCCAAGGTCACACCACTGCACTCCAGCCTTGGCGACAAAATGAGACTCATCTAAAAAAAAAAAAAACCTAAAACAGTTAACTTATACATTAAATTATTTTTTTAAAAAATAAAATTTTCTTAAGGGGTTGACCTATTCTTAAATTATAATAGACTTTTGCTGGGAATGGTGGTTCATGCCTGTAATCCCAGCACTTTGGGACATCAAGGCAGGTGGATCACTTGAAGTCAGGAGTTCTAAACCAGCCTGGCCAACGTGGTGACACCTTGTCTCTAATAAAAATACAAAAATTATTCAGGTGTGGCAGCATGCTCCTGTAGTCCCTGCTACTTGGGAGGGTGAAGCACAAGAATTGCTTGAACCCAGGAGGCAGAGGCTGCAGTAAGCTCAGATTGTGCCACTGCACTCCAGCCAGGGTAACAGAGTGAGACTCTGTCTCAAAAAAAAAAAAAAAAAAAAAAAAAAAAAAAAATATATATATATATATATATATATATATATATATATATATATGAGTTTAATATGAAAGTTCAACTTTTATTGCATCTTGCCATTTTTTTCAATTTTCTCTCTCCTTTAAAAAGGCTCATTTTCTTAAAGTCTAAAGGAAATGTTTTCTTCCAACATAATATTCTGTGCATTGCAGAAGGTCTTTTCTTTTGCCTTTTGTTAACTGACCTAACAGATTTTTTTTTTTTTTTTGAGACAGAGTTTCGCTCTTGTTACCCAGGCTGGAGTGCAATGGCGCGATCTCGGCTCACCGCAACCTCCGCCTCCTGGGTTCAGGCAATTCTGCCTCAGCCTCCGGAGTAGCTGGGATTACAGGCATGTGCCACCATGCCCAGCTAATGTTTTTTATTTTTAGTAGAGATGGGGTTTCACTATGTTGACCGGGATGGTCTCGATCTCTTGACCTCGTGACCCACCCGCCTCGGCCTCCCAAAGTGCTGGGATTACAGGCTTGAGCCACCGCGCCCGGCCGACCTAACAGATTTTAAATTTTGTTGAAATAATTCCTATGCCACTATTATTAAGTTTGGTTTGCTTAGGAAAAAACTGAGATTAAAAAAATTTTTTTTTTAAATAACATGATTACATCTGTGTATCTTCCTGCATGTGCTTTAAAAGTCCTTGTGACATTGAGTTACAGGGCTTTGACTCCTGGGTGTAAAAAGGACACCAGGTCCTGCTAAATTGTAAACACTGACAGCAATGAAAGCCTCATCTTCAGGCCCCTTCTGAAGATGTCAATCAAAATAAACTGCATTCCAGAGACACAGGGCCAGAAATTAAAGCTATTCAACTGAGACTGTAAGGGACAAGTTTGAAAGAAAGTAAGTTCAGTTTCTCTATAAATTAATCATTCACATCAAAGGCACAATGATGCAAGACCAGCATATGAGCCCCTGCATAAGATTAACAAGGTTTTCTTGACACATTAACCAATTCCTTAAAAAAGGTTATAAAGGCGCCGGGCATGGTGGCTCACGCCTTTAATCCCAGCACTTTGGGAGGCTGAGGTGGGTGGATCACGAGGTCAAGAGATCGAGACCATCCTGGTGAACGTGGTGAAACCCCGTCTCTACTAAAAATACAAAAATTAGCTGGGCATGGTGGTGTGTGCCTGTAATCCCAGCTACTCAGGAGGCTGAGGCAGGAGAATTGCCTGAACCCAGGAGGCGGAGGTTGCAGTGAGCCGAGATCGCGCCATTGCACTCCTGGGTAACAAGGGCGAAACTCCGTCTCAAAAAAAAAAAAAAAAGAAAGAAAGAAAGAAAAAGGAAAAAAAAAAGAGGTTATAAAGGCTTATTCTTTTTTTTCTTTTTCTTTTCTTTTTTTTTTTTTTTGATATGGAGTCTCGCTCTGTCTCCAGGCTAAAGTGCAGTGGTGTAATCCTGGCTTACTGCAACCACCACCTCCTGAGTTGAAGCGGTTCTCCTGCCTCAGCCTCCCAAGTAGCTGAGACTACAGGTGTGCGCCACTATGTGCAGGTAATTTTTGTATTTTTAGTAGAGACAGGGTTTCACCATGTTGGCCAGGATGATCTCATGATCCACCTCGCTTGGCCTCTCAAAATGCCGGTATTACAGGCATAAGCCACCGTGCCTGCTAGGAAGTTATATCTTATGGTCAAGTTTAAAATTTTATAGATTGTTTATAAAATTTTGAAAAACAAATTTAATTTACTTCATGCTGTTTTTATTAGGGTTTGTTTGGAAAGTTGTCTCCTCTCTCAAAGAATGAAGGTTTTCACTTTTTTTTGGAATCCTTGAGTTATCACTTTGGCTAAATGAATGATTTATTTTACAATGAAATGTGATCCTATTTTGTGATATCAGATGTTTTAAACATTTATATCTGACAAACTTTCCAACATCAAATTATAAATTATGTCTTTTTCTGACCTAATTAGTCCTTTAAGATATTAGGTTCCCTAAAGTCCAAAAAATAATGCAATTTGTCTTATTTGGTACAAAAACACAGGAAGCATTGTCAAATAAGAGAGTGTTTGGTTTTCTTTGAGATGTATTTGTATACATATGTTATTGGTATGTGTTCCAAAATTATGGGAAACTCCTGTAATTCTGATATAACTTAGTGTATGTTATCAGTAATAATCATAATTGTTACCTTAAAATTACTGTGTGCTACAGAGAAGTAACACATTTCCTTGTCAATTGTGTCGTTGACTATGGCTGCCCTGAAACTCAATGCAACCTCTGGATTGCAACATGACAATGGACAAATGTTGTACTGCTTTGGTCCTCTTTAGGAAGTGGTTTTATAATCAGCTATAAAACTCTAACAGGTCCTCTCAAATGCTGGTCTCCAATAACTTTGGAAATTATTACATGAGAATAGAGGAAAAACTTTCAGGACTCATGGAGAGCTAAAATGTTCACGAATAGCAAGTAGAACAAGAATTAGCTACACATACTGAACTAATCTTTTTGACTTTTTGCCTAAAACGTTGTTGATCTTTTGTTTTGTTTTTCAGAGTCTTGAAACTTTTCTTTTGAGCTATTGACAGTTTTTAACAATTTAGTATACTCCAAGCCAGGCATGGTGGCTCATGCCTGTAATCCCAGCACTTTGGGAAGCTGAGGCAGGTGGATCTCCTGAGGTCAGGAGTTCGAGCCCAGCCTGGCCAACACAGTGACACCCCATCTCTACTAAAAATACAAAAATCAGCTAGTTGTGGTCGTGTGTGCCTGTAGTCTAAGCTACTTGGGAGGCTGAGGCAGAAGAATAGTTTGAACCCATGAGGTGGAGGCTGCAGTGCACTGAGATGGTGCCATTGCACTCCCACTCCAGCTTGAGCAACAAGAGCAAAACTCCATCTCAAAAAAAAAAAAAAAAGGCCAGGCGCAATGGCCCATGCCTGTAATCCCAGCTGTAATCCAAGCACTTTGAGACGCTGAGGCAGGCATATCACAATGTCAGGAGATTGAGACCATCCTGGCTAACACAGTAAAACCCCATCTCTACTAAATCTACAAAAAATTAGCCAGGTGTGGTTGCATGTGCACATAGTCCCAGTGACTCAGGAGGCTGAGGCAGGAGAATCACTTGAACCCAGGAGTTGGAGGTTGCAGTGGGCCAACATCATGCCACTGCACTCCAGCCTGGGTGACAGAGTGAGACTCTGCTTCAAAAAAAAATATGTATACTCTTACGAATATCTAGAGCATATTTCTTTCTTTCTACGTGATTTCTCTAGAATTTGGAAACATTTGTAAGTATTCTTAACTTGTGGCAATACAGTTATTTGCGTAAGTGTAATAAGAATCTGCTTTCGCCGGGCGCGGTGGCTCAAGCCTGTAATCCCAGCACTTTGGGAGGCCGAGGCGGGTGGATCACGAGGTCAAGAGATCGAGACCATCCTGGTCAACATGGTGAAACCCCGTCTCTACTAAAAGTGCAAAAAATTAGCTGGGCATGGTGGTGCGTCCCTGTAATCCCAGCTACTCAGGAGGCTGAGGCAGGAGAATTGCCTGAGCCCAGGAGGCGGAGGTTGCGGTGAGCCGAGATCGCGCCATTGCACTCCAGCCTGGGTAACAAGAGCGAAACTCCGTCTCAAAAAAAAAAGAATCTGCTTTCATTTGTAAAAGGATACAACTAGAGAAACTGATTATTTTACCAAGGCTTTGACTGGAACTTAAGACAATTTGCAATCAAGACTCTCTACACAAGGACACTTAAAACTACTGACCCTGGCCTAGCTCAAACGAAAGGGACAGTGACGATTCTGTCTAGCTCTGTGGCACTTCGCTGCTTCCCAAAATGAATCTCTTAAAACACCTCCAGGCTTTGTGAGTGCTGGTCTCGAAAAAGGACTCAGTGTACCCCTAAGGGCTAACTTACTTCTTCAGGAGTTGCATGCATTGGAGAAATTTCCCAAACCAATAGGAGGAACAACTTCTCCGTTCATTCACCACCCTACCAAGCACTTGGCTTTTGTACCTTATTGAAATTATTTAACTTCTAATCCAGAGCCTAGAAAATGAATCATGTGCCTTAAATGTAAAGGTTTCTCTTAACTCTTCTCTGGAGGAATGCAGAGGCTTGGCTGTGGAAGTATCCAACTCCAAAGTCCCTCCCAGCTCTAGAACTGAGGAATTCTGTCTCCACGAGTCGTCATCACACTTATCTGTGTTTAGATAGAGAACGTATGCGTTCGACCCAGCACACTTAGGAGCTCCGTTAAAGTAGCCATCATTAATACTAAGATGAATTTACACGCGTACTACAACAGAACCTATCAAGAGATCATTATTCCAAGCTCACAACAGCACCAAGCACGGTGCTTTCCTTCCCTTCATTAGAACCCGGGGCTACGCCTCCCAAACCTTTCCCATACCTTTCCCAAAACTCTATCAAAACCGCCAGTCTTGGCCAAGACCTTCACCACCTCCCGCAGATTCTGGGTCACGCCGTTCATCGTGGACCGTTTTCTGGCTTTTGGGCTGTGCGCAAGAACAAACTTCGGAAGAGCCGGAAAGCCCAGAAGTTAATGGAAGAAGGACGCGGAGGGTGAAGAGGCGACACCGCTCCACCCCGCTAGGCGCGCAGGAGGCCGGGCGTCACGCGCGCCGCCTGCCACTGCCGTCCGCCCCCTAGTAACGGGGCGCGCACGCGCGTTTCACCCCCACCGCCTCGGAGGTTCGCTTGTGGCGCAGCTGCACCAATTCCTCTCGAAGAGCGGAGCAAGTTTCCCCGCCGGGCAGTGGATGCGGGCGCGCCGGGGCGCGGGCGCCTGCGCAGAGCCGGGTGTGGGCCGCCTGTTCCGCTCAAAGGGGCGGTGCGGAAGCGGTAAAACGATGGAGCCGGGGAGCTGCGTGGAGGGCGGGACGGAGGCGGCGGGGGAGGAGGGCGAGCCAGCGGTGAAGAAGCGGCGACTTCTGTGTCTGGAGTTTGCCTCGGTCGCGAACTGCGATTCCGCTGTGGCTCAGTGCTACCTGGCCGAGAACGACTGGGAGATGGAGGTAAGCTTTCGCTGGCGTCGCGTCCCGCTCCGCTGACCGGGTCGCCGGAGCGCGCTAACTTCATCCCTGCGCCTTTGTTTTTCAGAGGGCACTGAACTCCTACTTCGAGCCTCCGGTGGAGGAGAGCGCCTTGGAATGCCGTCCTGAACCCGCCGCTGAGCCCGAGATCTAGTAAGTGGTGAGGGCAGCGGGAGCCTGTCCGGGCGGAGGCAGTGTGATGCCGGGTTGCGCTGCGCGTCCTGGGAGCTGCCCTGGAGCTGGGCGGGAGGTGCTGCTGCGCGGAGAGGCGCCCCAGCAGCGGGATCGAGCGCTTTGCTCCCCTAGATGATCACTTCGAACGTCATTTGGAGTCCAGGGAGGAAAAGCGGAAAATGTAATTTTTGACTCAAATGATAGGAAATAGGTAAGCGAGAGGTCGAAACAAATGAACGAAGGCAAAATCTTCTAACGAAGAATGGTGAATTGGAAGTCTCCTGGCTTCCTGTATTGTTTACTTGCTGTGGACTCTAGGCTGGCCAGCCGGAATAATCGTTTTTGTTGTTGTTGTTGTTGTTGTTGTTTTGAGACGGAGTTTCGCTCTTGTTGCCCAGGCTGGAGTGCAATGGCGCGATCTCGGCTCACTGCAACCTCCACCTCCTGGGCTCAGGCAATTCTCCTGCCTCAGCCTCCTGAGTAGCTGGGATTACAGGCACACGCCACCATGCCCAGCTAATTTTTGTGTTTTTAGTAGAGACGGGGTTTCACCATGTTGACCAGGATGGTCTCGATCTCTTGACCTCGTGATACACCCGCCTCAGCCTCCCAAAGTGCTGGGATTACAGGCTTGAGCCACCGCGCCCGGCCTGTTGTTGTTGTTTTTAATGCACACCCACTCCTGTTACTTCATTGCCCCTCCCCAGGTCCTGCACGACTGCTCTTAAAAAGTCTAGATGCCTTACAAGGCCCTCTACTATTCGGCTCCACAACTTGGAACCTGTCTTTCGAGGTTCTAGGTATACAAAACTTTTAGTTTTTGCCAACGGGTCATTTTCTCTTGTCTTTGAACCTTCATAAATATCTTTATTACCTCTGCCTGGAATTTTTTTCTCTTTCCTTCCTTGCTAATATTTGTCTTAAAGGCCCAAGCTGAAACATGGTTTATCTCCAGGAAGCTTTTCCTGATGTCCCAAGTCTGGGTAAGGTTCCTCTTTTGGGTACTCTTACGGCATCCTGCATGACCCCTGTTATAGTAACTTAGTCCATATTATAATTGCTGTTCATTATTTTATGTCGCCTACTAGACTGCACGTCTAGTATCTGTTTTATACATTGTTGATTTCCCAGTCTGACACAGCGTTTGACACATAGTAAGCTCCCAATAAACATACTGAATGTATAAAGTTCTTCCAGCTATGTGCAGCCTGTGAAATTGACTGTTAATAGTGGAGACTGTATTTTCCCTTTGGCCTTTTCAGCTACCCTCGCTTACAAGATGTGATAAGATATTTTCATTAAGTTCCTTTTTCTGTCTTGCCATTGGGGAATTGTCTACTCACCCACAGTGATTTGTCTCTGGCTCCCCTGTTTTACTAACCAGAGCAAGTTGGACTAGGAGGTGTTCACTTAGCTCAAACTGGCCAGTCAGATCCTCTCCTTGGTTTCAGAATTAGGACCAAGAGAGTCAAGTCTGAAGCTTCCTATGGAGCTGGAACTGTAATATGTTAACTTAAGCACCTGTGGAGATTCTTCCATATCTTTTTTTGTGTGCAGAGAAGCTGAGAACAGAGGTCTACAGAGGGAAGTTGAAGAGTAGGATTGAGAGAAAGTCTTTGATTGCCCTTCCTTAAACATGGCTGCATTTCTGTACTAGGCTCTGTGACATGTTTGTTTCCTTATAAATTCTCATGTTTTGGTCACACCAACCTGAGTTAATGTCTGTTTTTTGCAACAGACTATATTGTAACCAATAAATAGCAACAAAATAAGTGGATTTCCTGGAATAGGCGCTCAGAAAAAGATGTGGATCAAGCTTAGCAGTGGTGCATGGCTTTTAGGATTCTCTTAACCCGGGATGGTAAATTGGCAAAAACAGCAAAGGTGTTGATTAGGCTGTGGTCTCTTTGTCTCTGAAAACTCAGGTCAAGTATGAATGAGAGTGAGCTTTTAAAGTTTAGTTTGCTAAAGAGAAAAATGGGGAAGGGTCAAGTTTCAAGGTGTTTCTAAGGGCTGTGTATTCACAGAGCGTGACCTGATTAGATTTTTGATGTTGGCTTTAGCAAAAATGAAAGGAAAAGAAAAAAATCAATTAGAAGACTTTATGACCAGAAACACTCAAGCCTGCCGAGCAAGGCCTTTGGCTGTCTTAAATGAATGGGGCAGGAATCTCAATTCTTCAGTGAATTCCTGGGATATCAATCAACAAAAATTGAAATTGAACACTAAAGTGATTTAGCCCTCTACATTGGAATCTATCTTCAGTGTCTGATAAGAGACAAGGGAAATCCTCTTAAAACAGCTATGCTCAGCCGGGTGCGGTGGCTCACACCTGTAATCCCAGCACTTTGGGAGGCCGAGGTGGGTGGATCACGAGGTCAGGAGATCGAGACCATCCTGGTCAACACGGTGAAACCCCGTCTCTACTAAAAATACAAAAAATTAGCTGGGCATAGTGGCGCATGCCTGTAATCCCAGCTACTCAGGAGGCTGAGGCAGGAGAATTGCCTGAACCCAGGAGGCGGAGGTTGCAGTGAGCCGAGAATGCGCCATTGCACTCCAGCCTGGGTAACAAGAGCAAAACTCCGTCTCAAAAAAAAAAAAAAAAAAAACAGCTATGCGGAGTCCTTTTTTTTTTTTTTTTTTTTTGAGGCGGAGTCTTCCTTTGTCACCCAGGCTGAAGTGCAAGGGTGGCTCATTGCAACCTCCGTCCCCTGGGTTCAAGAGATTCTTCTCCTGCCTCAGCCTCCCAGTTAGCTGGGATTACAGGCGCCTGCCACCATGCCCAGCAAATTTTTGTATTTTTCGTAGAGATGGGCTTTCACCATGTTGGCCAGGCTCATCTTAAACTCTGACCTCAGGTGATTCGCCCACCTCAGGCTGCCAAAGTGCTGGGATTACAGGTGAGAGCCACCACACCTGGCCAACTATGCTGAATCTTAGCTGCATATTGGAATTATCTGGGGAAATTAAAAAGACCCAGAGATTCTAATTTAATTAGTCTGGAGTGGGGCCCATTTATTTCTCATTGGCTTTTTTTTTTTTCTGTGCAGTGATTCCAGTGCAAGGCCAGCATTGATAGCCCATGTCCCAGAGCTTTGTTAGGCAGAGTGTGGACCTCTGGACCAGCAGCATGCCGCTCCTTGGGAGTTTATTAGGCATGCAGAATCTTAGGCCTCATCCAGACCTACTGAATCAGAGCCAAAGTGCAAAGGTTCTAGGTCCACCTGTGCTATTTAGTAACTGTATAACTTTTCTCTGCTTCAGTTTCTTTCTTTTTTTGAGACATCCTTTTGGAATTTGTTGCCCAGGCTGGAGTGCAATGGGGAGATCTTGGCTCACTGCAACCTCTGCCTCCTGGGTTCAAGCAATTCTCCTGCCTCAGTCTCCTGAGTAGCTAGGATTACAGGCATGTGCCATCACACCTGGCTAATTTTGTATTTTTATTAGGGACTGGGCTTCACCGTGTTGGTCAGGCTGTTCTCAACCTCCTCACCTCAGGTGATCCACCCGCCTTGGCCTCCCAAAGTGCTGGGATTACAGGCTCGAGCCACTGCGCATGGCCCTGCTTCAGTTTCTTTTTTTTTTTTTTAGACGGAGTTTCGCTCGTTACCCAGGCTGGAGTGCAATGGCGCGATCTCGGCTCACCGCAACCTCCGCCTCCTGGGTTCAGGCAATTCTCCTGCCTCCGCCTCCGGAGAAGCTGGGACTACAGGCATGCGCCACCAGGCCCAGCTAATTTTTGTATTTTTAGTAGAGACGGGGTTTCACCATGTTGACCAGGGTGGTCTCGATTTGTTGACCTCGTGATCCACCCATCTCGGCCTCCCAAAGTGCTGGGATTACAGGCTTGAGCCACCGCGCCCGGCCGCTTCAGTTTCTTTATCTGCACAGCCCCTTCCTCGTGGGGTTGTTGTAAAGATTAAGTGAGCTAATCGGTGTAATACACTTGGAATTGTGCCTGGCATATGGAGCCCAGTAAGTATAAGCTATGATTAATAATTAATGACACCATCATGCTCTCCCCATGTATCACTCATGACAGTCCACCCATTGAGGAAAGTAAGGGTTGTGTTAAGAGTTTTATGAGGTAGATTGAGTTATAGTTGGGCATCTTTAAACTTGGGGGGAAAAATGTGCGTGCTGGATAGGTAAGGGGCCTAATGTGATGAACAAACACCTGGTCTTTGATAATATGTATGTATTTTTAAATGCAATTATGAAATAGAAGATTTGACAGAAATAAAGCGCCAACAGTCTTTCCTTTCTGGTTTTATTGCTTTCAATAAAAAGGAAATAACATCTTTGATTAGGCTTGGAATCATTTGGCTTTCTCTGGTGGCAAGCCCTTGAAAAAAGTCTATTATTAGCTCATTGTTCAATAAGAGAAGTTTTGGGCAGGGTGAAATTCACAAAAGAAAGTTTTGGGCCGGGCGCGGTGGCTCAAGCCTGTAATCCCAGCACTTTGGGAGCCCGAGGTGGGTGGATCACAAGGTCGAGAGATCGAGACCAACCTGGTCAACATGGTGAAACCCTGTCTCTACTAAAAATACAAAAAATTAGCTGGGCATGGTGGCGTGTGCCT